CGAAAGCTTGTTTTACTGTTTTAGATATTTATTTTGCCTAAAATAAAAACACTTTGACATGCGTGAGATCATTTCAAGCCTCGTTATATTAATAATAATCATGTCATCCATCCTCGCCCATATAAAAAATATTTGATCAGTGACTGATCAGTGAGTGACAGGGAATGATCAGTAATCAACGATCATATCCCACACCGCTCCGCGCGCTGCAGCTGCTCCGAGCAACGCCTGGTCGGTCCTGGTCCCCCCTCGGACTCTGTAATCAGTGCACTGACCGGTCACGGGCCGCTCACGGACTCTGTAATCAGTGCAGTGGGCCGCTCACGGACTCTGTAATCAGTGCACCGACCGGTCAGGGTCCCCCCTTGGACTCTGTAATCAGTGCACCGACCGGTCAGGGTCCCCCCTTGGACTCTGTAATCAGTGCACTGACCGGCCACGGGCCGCTCACGGACTCTGTAATCAGTGCACTGACCGGCCACGGGCCGCTCATGGACTCTGTAATCAGTGCACTGACCAGCTCACGGACTCTGTAATCAGTGCACTGACCGGCCACGGGCCGCTCACGGACTCTGTAATCAGTGCACTGACCGGCCACGGGCCGCTGACGGACTCTGTAATCAGTGCTCTGACCGGTCCTGGTCCCCCCTCGGACTCTGTAATCAGCGCAGTGCCCAGCCCCGGCCCACGGACTCGTCGTCACAGCAGTGACCAGCACGACCGAAGCACCTCACTGAAAGCCACCGCTCACCGCCGTCCGACGGGCTATTTCGGTCGGCCTGTATCGGAGCGGCCGTCCGACCGACCGCCCCCTGATGAGCCTGACACTGCACCGAGTGTGTGGCCGGCCGGACAGCGTGAGCAGACAGGCCGGACAGCCCTGCGCTGGACAGCGAGCCTGTGGCGCCCGGCCGGACAGTCTAGGACACCGAGCCAGACAGACCCTCCGACCTCTCGTCTAGACACCGAGGGTGAATCACCGAGCCGTACACCACGTCTCATAGACAGACCGGCCGGACAGAGACACTGAACTGAACAGCGTGACCCGGCCAGGAGCAGAGATATAGTCTGGCGGCTGACTTAGTAAGATTGGAATGGTGTCTGGTCAATAACATGACGCGCTAAAGTTTTGAAAGTAAACGAAAACAAAGTGTTGGTAATTGGTATATCTGCTACCCACTGGGAAGGAACCACAACCAGCGATAAATGGTCTCAATGACTAGCTTATAGACGATGTAAACGCTCCATTTGACAGCTCGGTCGAACTTCGAACAAACTCATCGAACATGCTTGTTAACGCCTTCCCTCTGCGATACCCGAGCGCAGTGATCTGCAGCTCGCTCTGGTTATCTCAACACTACGGCTTGTGTTTATCGATCCGGTGATCTCGGACTCATTGCCGCCGACCGCTCTCCGCGCCGCCCACCCGTAACACGTTCCCCAGGGTGTTCGGTTGCTCCTGTGTGGCCCATCAGTGTCGGGGCTTCCCTGGAGGGTGGGCGGTGTTCTAGGTTTATTTCGGCGGCGGTGAGCCGGGGCCGGCCCGCGGCGGGACTGGTGGTGACGCCCCCTCCCCCTGGCAGTGCGCCAGGGAAGTCACTGATGGTCGCGAGAGCGGACCCAGCGAACTCGTGGCCAGCACCTGGGCAGATGCACCTCAGTCTAGGGTAGGTATAGGTACTGCTGACCCTGGATCGGTGCCCGTTGCACAGCTCATATGTCACGGCGGAGATGGTCCTTGGGTGCAATCAATGCAATAATTACGAGAACCTCATGTAACTTTGTCATTCCTACCTCAAAGGCGAATGTATACTCTGTTCCGATGGTTAACTTTTGAATTTGTGTTTCCAATGCTGTCATTCCGTAGTTTATCGAATAGGCAGGTAGGTAGGTATGTACAGTCTGTCTTAAAAGTACCGCGCAAAGTGACGGTGGATCCATCATGCCTGACCGAGGAAGGGCCAACTAAATTTGAGTCACCACTCACCGAAGCAATTCACATCCTCGTCCATTCCCTAGGTCAATTGGTTCGGTGACTTTCAAATTACAGCAGGCCCTACCTCAGTCTGGCTTGATGGATCCACCGTCACTTTGCGCGGTACTTTTAAGACAGACTGTACATACGGCCCTCCAGCAAAAGAGTGGTTGGTTAGCATATGTGCTTTTGGTGTAATAACTTTGAATGACAGAGACACTCCTGTAAAATGACTCAATAGAAATGAGAAGAGGGCTTGTGCACACACTTCGGCAGTGGTTTTCAACAGCCATTAGACGTAACTATTCATCAATGCAGATTGTGATGTTGGCAACCAACCACTAAATACCTGGAGGGCCGTACAGTGTGTCTTAATTAAAAGTACCACGCAAAGTGACAGTGGATCCATCTACCCTGACCGAGGAAGGGCCTGCTATAATTTTGAAAGTCACCGAACCAATTGACCTGGGGAATGGACGAGGATATCCATTGTTTCGGTCACTCAAATTTAGCAGTCCTTCCTCGATCAGGCTAAATGGATCCACCGTTACTTTGCACGGTACTTTTAAGACTTACATACCATACTTATATAGGCTTACATACCTAGTTACTTTCATATCAATCGCATTAGGACTTCTAGTTGTATGGGTGCTTTGCCTTAGTAGGTTTTTTCCTACTTCTACTTCTATTTATTAGTTATTAGTACATCGGTTGCGATGTCACTGCTAACTATCTGGAATATTTCTGAAAATAAGTGTTCCCAATCCCGAGCCTGGCCTGCATGGCGTCAAGCGCCTGGCGGAGTCGAGTGGCGTGAAAGCGCCTGCATGTATACTGTTCCGCATGGCCTCAGTGCCGTGCGGTACAGTCTACCCAGACTAAAGCGCACGATACGGCGGCCGGTCTCTCTCTCTCTCTCTCTCTCTCTCTCTCTCTCTCTCTCTCTCTCTCTCTCTCTCTCTCTCTCTCTCTCTCGCCATAGCTGCCGTTTCATTTGATTTCTCATCATCGTGTTTGTTCCGCTTTCTCTACTTTTATAGTACGTCTTTTGCAATGGATCAGCAGGGAAAACTAGCGTTCGACGTACCCAAAGTGTTTGTAAACGACTGAGCGACTGACATCCCCGCCTACCACGCACCATCCACGTCCAAGGCTGCGACCATCCCGCCCAGTCGTCGCTGCCAGCGGGGCGCGTTCAGGCGGCGGCCGGCTGGGCGCTGGCCACTTGGCTCGTGTCCGAGATCCGAGGGGCGGCGGGCTCGGTCGACAGTGGCACGCACCGGTGTGGCCGCTGACACGCAGTGGGGCGGAGTGGGGAGTCGGGGCGTGGATCCTCGGGGACACAAACAGCGCACAGTGGCACACACTGGGGAAACAAACGGCGCACAGTGGTTCTGAGGGCTACGGAGTTGATGGATTTTTGGTAATTCCGACACATTCAGACTACGGCTTCCAAAAGTCGGCACCGACTTCGATTACCGACTCCGCAGCCTGGGTCGGTGACAGTGAGTGGCCAGTGCGACGTGTCTTGTATCCCAGTTGACAAATGAAATTGAAGTAGCTGGTGTGACTGGTAAAGAGTGCCGAGAGTCATATGGGCGGGATTCATTACCAGAGTTTGATACCGACGGGATTTATCGAAGTTCCGCAGCATGAAGTGCTTGTCGATAAAATGAATAAAATATCACTCAGCTTCTATGGCTTATCTCCACAGTCCGCGCCTTCGGTCGTCCACTCCAAACACTTTTCTGATTCTTTCGCGACGTAATCTGCATACCTAATCGGTCTAACGACGAGCCCCACTACAGAAGCGTAAACCATAACAGCCGTAATTTTCCCGCGATCTAAATCGTCCCCGACTAACGTCTTTGATAACTAATCAAACTGATGTCCCTAACCTCTCCACACACTCGAACCGTTAACATCTCTCCCCTCTTCACTTCCCCAATAAAGTCACTCGACCGCCATTCTCGCCGTACATGCCACAGACGCACTTGAGGCGCCCGCGATCGGCACGTGCGCTCCGACGTGGCGCCGTCACGTGCAGAAGGCGCGTTCCTTGGCCACGTGGGTGCCGGTTTTATCGGCACTCCATCTCCGTACGTCAGACAGCGGTACGGTGGCCGCACTACCGGTATGCGCCCAGGGGTTTTCAGGTCTGGCACGGACCTGGCAATCGCGCACTTTGCGCAAATGGCGCGCAGTGCCATGCGCACTATGGCGATCTTTAAAAATAACAAGGCGTAAATGAAGTTCGTTCCGCTTCGTAGCTATCACAGATGCTATCCAATCGTTTACAAGGGAAGAGAGCTCAGTGAAGTTTAACGTCGCAGCCGCAAACGGGCGTTCAGTGTTTGGTTTTACATTTGTATTGTCGGACACATGATCATGGTGATGATGGTCGCGATAAAACATTTCATGTTTTCTCGCCGGCTGTACCGCGCCCTCCGTCCACTAATATCTATGAATAGCTTGCGAAAGTCCAGCGCGCTCACTCACACCCTGTTAAACACTTCAAAAGACACCCACAGTCCCGCGCGTCCTAAAGCAGCCTCGCACGCGCCCAGGCGGCGCGCGAGGAGGTGAAGATGGAAATGAGGGTGATCCAAGGCCTCTGCGGTGGCGGGCAGCAGCGGCCGCGCCCGGCGGACCGAATACTGCTCGGAATGTGGGGGCGCCCGCGGGCGCAATGACTGTGACCGGTGCGGCGCCCGCGCGCCCACACACTCCCGAGCCGGAGTGGGCGGCTGCGCTCTCTCTCTCTCCCAGTCGAATCTCAGTGCGGCGGCGCCGGCCGCGGTCCAGTCAAACTCACATGGCGCCGAGTCTCAACAAACGAGCACAAAAGTTGCAAAAATAAAATACCGGCGTCGGGACACCGGCAACATGAAACTGTCGTCAGTGCTGAGCTCTGGATCGTTCCGACCAAATCTCAGGCAGACGACCCGACCAGACTGCGACAGAAGGGGAACGGACGAACCGACCGACACACCAGCCTCATAGGAAAAACAAATCACCCAGCGGGTACATTGGTTCCAGTTTTATGTATCAAAGAATATAATCAAAATACATAAATGTCTATTGGATAAGACCTAGACCTGGCGGTTGCAAAACGAACGTTTCAATCGAAAATAAATAGATCAACCAACTAGCTACATGAATGGAAAAATCAACTACAAAAATCACAACAAAACGCGCCGGGCCGCCCATGATTGGTGCCGGCCGGCGCCCACATCACGCTCTCTCGGCTTCTTGCATACCGTCCGCCCTGCGCGAGCGGCACCACTGGCGGCCGCGCGCGCCCACCTCCGGCCGACGGCCTCTGCCGATAAAATCTATCGCTGGCCTTGCTCGTCGGACATAATTTCTTTATAGGCACCCTTGCTCCCTCGAACCGCAGCGCCCCCGGCCAGCCACCATCTGTCCAACGAGCTGACCGAGCCGCCACACCGGGCCGGCTGCCCGACACCAACAGCAACGCACATGTACACTGAACTCGACGCGATATCTACACGCGGCGCGACGCGACGCGACGCACGATGGCATGGGCGATTCTCGATGAACGAACGACCTCGGCGGACGCTGGTTTGTACTGGAAAGATAGAGAGAGAAAGGGAGTGATGCGACTGACGACGACGACGCGGCGCCGGCGCTCACACGGCAAAGTCTGGGTCGCTGCCGCCGTCACTGTCACCGTCCTCGTCGTCACTCGTATCGCGCCGCTTCTTCTTCTTCTTTTTCTTCTTGTGCTTGTCCGACTTTTTGTGTTTGTGCTTGTGGTGTCGCATGACGGCCTCGTCGCCGGGGAAGTGCAGCGGCACGATGGTGAGCTTGGCCACCCGCGGCGGCTCCACCTGAGAAAGGACGGAATAGGCAGCGTCAGACAAGATACGAGACAATACGAAACACGATGAGACCGTGTGATAGCACATGGGACAGGGCGGCACGGTAATTGGGACAGCATGAGACGGCATAAGACGAGACATGGAAAAGGACGGCGTGTAATGGGAAGGGACGACATTGAAAAAGGCACGACACGGCAAAGAACAACAATGTTCACAAACCAACACCTTATCATAGTCAAGACATAGCAGCATTACCTAATCTTTGACCCCGTGTCTAACCTCCCCGCCACCCAGCGTCCCCGGCGAGTACTGACCGCGGCGGGCGGGGTGCGAGGCGCCGTCTGGTGGTGGCGGCCCTCCCTCCTCTCTCGGCCGCTCTCCGCCGCCGAGGCCGCCGCCGCCTGCGACTTCAGCGCGCTCAGCGACAGGATGATGGGCGGCAGCGGCTGCTGCGGCGGCGCCGGCTGCTCGGGCGGCGGCGGCGGCGGCGGCGCGGCGGGCGGCGGCGCGCCGTCCCCGCGCGGGGAGCGGCCCGGCTGCGGTGTGGCCGACACGGACGGGGTTCCGGGGACGGGTCGGAGGGCAGAGCTGCCGGGCGCCGCCGGCCGGTCGTCCTCATCATCCTCGTCGGCCGGGTCGATGTGCAGCATCAGACGCTTAAACTGGCGGCGGGAGGGAACGGCGGCGCGTCAGACGATAGGTTCTACGGTCTAGAAGTTACGCATGGAGACTGGATAACTAAACCCGGCACCCGAACAGCATGGTGGTCCCAGGCGGTCAACATAATTGGCAACAGCCGAAACTGAGTAAAATATGCAGACCGCCTCCTTTTCCAGCTAATCAAGACATACAAACAGCTCTCCCCCCGAATATTGCCTAACCAGACCGGCAGCGATAATACGAACTCACGTTCAGGTACTGGGCGATGAGCTTCCTCTTGGCCTCGTCCTCCTCCGAGTCCTCTTCCTCCTCCTCTTCCTCTCCGTCCTCTTCCCTGACCTTCTGGGCGGCACCCTCGCGCTCCTGGGCCTTGATCGACTTGATGGTGACGGCCGGTTTGAACACCACCGTGGCTCGCCGGTTGACCGCCTTCTCGTAGGCTTTGCCAGACTCGGACGGAGAGTATTGTGATATTTTGCTGTGGACGAAGGGATAACCGCGCGGTCAGGGAAAAGCCACCGACGCAGTGCGACACACGGGACTGTTGGTGTAATAACGAAGCGGCCTACTCTCTTTACACAAAGAAGCCGAAGTTTCGTAAACCACATGCTCCTCTGTTTTATTTCAGCCGTTTTCTACGTAGAGATAATCAATTAAAACGGTGCCTACGCCAAAGTTGAATTACACCGTGCGCACAACTGCCCCACGGAAGTCGCTCACCAGTGTCAATGGAGCTACCAGCTTTGCCAGCTGTCGCATGCAAATTACAAGGCTCAGCCTGCCACCTATTCCGTCCCACCCTGTCTTCCGTCCGCCCGCCACTCCAGCCTCCACCGCCACTCACTTGTCTGTGATACCGTAAAACTCCTTGAGGTGCTGTTTCATGACGAGCAGCAGGTTACAACCCTCAGAGGCGGCTAACGCGTCCTTGATGGGCGTCAGATCGTCGGGAAGCCGCTCCAGCAGCTGTTCGTCGTCATCATCTTCATCCTCGTAAGGTATGGGCTGCCCGGTCTCTGGGTGGTAGCGGACCGGCTGGCCGGCCGGCGGTAGCAGCGCCTCGCGCACCAGTTGCAGGATCGTGCTGCCCGTGACTGAGACCATCACATCCACCTGGCGGGAGAACGGGTGGAAAACGTGGGTTAGAACGGGAGGGGAGACATCTCGCCGATACTAACACACGGACAGGGACATGGGTCAAACGGGTGGGAGAAAACGCACCAACAGCGCAGGGCGAACCAACCAACATAAATACAAGATAACAGCAAACGCAAATCGCCTGGAAGTCCAAGTTCAATTACTGGTTTCTCCTACGACTCTTTCCAAGGGAAAATCACTGCTTGGATCATTGTCTGAGCGACTGACGGCTGCAGAAAAAATTTATGTATTTAAAAATCAGTTTAATAAAAAAAGCTTTGTGTCCGAGTACTGCGCTAACGGCAGGCATGTCACAGCTGAGCCATCAGACGCCGTCGTACGCACCTGGTGGATGATAAACAGCACCTCGTCCGCCACCTGGTAGGGGAAGTAGGCCAGGTTGTCGGCCAGGTACAGTAGCTCTTGGAGCGACTTCCGCTGTAACAACATCAGAACATACGTCAGGAAGACGAACACGACGCACGTCAGGAAGATGGACACGATGCAGAAACGGCTGCAAGTGGGGAGAACCACCGCACACTTCAAGTGGTAAACGCAGCGACCAACATAGACGATGTAAACTCGACCATTTCTGTGTCAGAACTCAGTGTAACTCCCATATCAAATATCCTCCCAGATTTGCAATGGCAGTCTTGCACCCGCTACCACTCCATCCACACCCCACTACAGTTATCCATTTTGTTTGTTTACCGAGGCCTTAGGACGCACCCGACTGCGATGATAACCTTACGTCCAGTTCCTCTCTGCGTTTCACTCACCGCGTGCTCGTCGAAATTCCTTAGGCAGGAGATGGCGATGGCGCGCCGCTGCTGCTTCGACGTCCTCATGATGGAGTAGAGGAAGCCGTTGAGGGCGGCCGGCGGCTCACCTTCCCGCAGCTTCAGACCTCGCGTTACCTGGAGAGGTAGATCGAGCGGGTTAGCGCCACACAAGACAGTACTTAAATTATCATGCTTCAATTATGTGTGGGACTAAAGCATGGATATTAATCTAGCCCACCATATTAATTCCATCTACCTATTCCATCGTCACCCATCCTACATTGTCCTTCTTTAATGCACCATCTAGCAAGTCAAGATATAACCTGAACAGCCCAACTCAAGCCATTCCTTCAACCACACCAGCTGCGCTCCGCCGTGCGTTCAACTACCACCCTACAGCCCGGTCCGTCCGGCGACTGAGAGAAACTGCACGTACCTCGCACTTGGCCTGCAGGATCTTCTGCAGTTCGAACGAGAGCCGGATGCCGGCCGTGGCCTTCATCTGGATGAAGCCCGGGTACTTTTTCTCGATCTCCTGCAGCTGCTTGTCAGCCGTGTGCGAGACGCGCTCGTCCGGGTCGGTCGACATGCAGATGAGGTAGGGCACGATCTGCACCGGGTGCACCAGGCCCTGTGCCAGGATCAGCTGGATCACCTGTGGAAGACGAGGGGGTGGAGCGTCAGAGAAGGCCACCGGCCCACAGGGGAGTGCTCACAGGACCAGCTGGATCATCAGTGTGAGACGTAGGTGGGAGGGAGCACCAACACTGCCTGATCAGCAGCTGGATCATATGTGCCTGACTTCCGAGTGACGTGTTCATGGATCACTAGACTTTCGAATCACTGTACGAAGACGATCAGTCTAAAAATCGTTACAACAGTCCACCCCATTCCCTAAGCCACGACCCATGCCTCCAGCTTCACACACCTACTCCCACAGACTCCAGGAACCACAGGTCCGTCCCTTCTGTCCCCCGTCATTTACCTTGAGCGCCGCGTGCCGGACGGCCACTGACGCATCCAGGAAGGAGCCCAGCACCTGCTTCAGGTACAGCTGGATCACCGTCGACGCCATGCCCGACGACACGTCACCCATCTCCTTCAGGTTCTCCTCCTTGGCGCGCTTCGACCCTGAGGGTGGAAAAGGGCGGGAGCGTCACTCAGTGTACCGGATAACCGGTGGGACGGGAGGATGTATATTGTATAGCGGCAGCGGGGAGCGGGAAACAAGGCGCACAACGGGGGCAGGTGAGTATTAACAGATGGTACAAAGAGCGCTGAGACTTACAGGGATTACAGGGAGGTCTAATGCGTGCATGTCGTGTTTAGCTAAGCATTACACCGACATATGTTAAGCTGAGCGAGCTGATGAGCATTCCAACTTCTGCGGGAATTAAAAATTATGTAGAAGAGCCAAACTTCACCCCTGGACTGGCCGACTGGAAGGCGGCCAGCTGCTTCACCCCCCCCCCCCTCCCCCCAAATCCACTCAAATCCTAGTCGCCCCATCCGCGTCCCAAGTCACCTCACCCTCCCCCCCCCCACACACACACACACCACACCACACCGCAGTTGGGCGCGTGCGACTCACACTCCTCGTCCTGCTGGATCATGCGCCGCTCCTCCTCCACCAGGTAGGTCTCCAGGTTGATGAGCACCTGCGCCTTCAGCTGCTTGCTCACGTCCGGCTGCTGCAGGAAGCCGTGGTACAGCTGCTTCACACGCTCGCTCAGCATCATGTCGTAGTGCCGGATCACGATGAAGCCAAGCGCCTGCAGAGTGAACATCTGCATGTCCGGTGCCGGCTGGTTAACGAAGTACAGCAGCGTCTCCAGCACCTCGTCCACGATGTCGTCCTGCAGGCAGAGGAGGGGATTAGGGAGGTCAGACCGAGCGACGAAGCGCACAGGTAGCACCAGCTGATGTGGAGTGTGACATACTGTACACACGTCCTGCGGTAGTGGAAGTCAGCTTATTTATCTGATACGTCCTGACGAGTACTTTTCCTTTCGAAACAGAGCAAGAGTCCGCGACCGGCATGAGTTAGCTGCAGCAAACTAAAATAAATGCACCCCTGTTATACTCTAGCTTCAAAATAAACTCTCCAATAATTCAATTAAAACAAACACGTCAACTCATAAACAAATAACGAGCCATTGCGCCATTGGCGCGACTCCCTTCCACAAAACCCCCTTTCAGCTCGTCCCTGACTCACGTTGAGGCCCTTCCGGACTTCTTCGTCGCCGAAGTCGAAGTAGCGCAGCAGCAGTCCGACGGTGTAGAGCGCCCGACGGAAGTAGGGCTTGTGCTTCTCCAGCATCGGATTGGTCGGCTGCGACTCGTGCATCAGCTTGTACGACTTGAGGTGACCTGTCGGGGGCGGTGGGACCGTTAGGCAGGGACCGGCGGGCGCGGTGAAGTCGGCGAGGACAGACTAGATTCGTGATTCACGACTCTCTAGTGAGTCATAAAATAGCATTGTTTCGTGAGCCGGAGTTCCAAAACTGTACTAGTGTCTCGTCGAGGTCGTCAAGTACACACAGTGATACTAAGGAACATCTGACTTTAGCCTGTGGTGTTTTTGCATAGTCAACTTGATTTAGCGTGAGTACTGAGCTCCGCCAAAGGAAACACAAAACAAAAAACAAACCAAAAGGTTGTTTGTCGCGGAAAAGCAGTGTCCTTCTAAACCATCTACTCCAAATCCTGTGCCTCCCGCTCACCGTAGTACTTCCTGAAGCAGTCCCGGATGAGTTTAAAGTTTTTCGTCACCCGGTTGACAATGGATCCGAGGCAGGCCAGGCAGCTGGCCACCACCGTCTTGTCGTGCTGCAGGATCAGTTTGACGCTGTCCTCCTCCAGTTCGGCCAGGAACGTGTCGCTCGGGTGCTCGATGAGCGGCACTACCAGCTCCAGCGTGCGCGCCACGTGTGAGATAATCTGGTAGTCGCCGCGCGTCTGACACCTGATGGGGCGACAGCGTGACACACGCAGTCAGAGGTGGCCAGGAACATGGTGGGCGGCTGTCAGCGATCTACATCGCTGCTCCTATTCAAGACCAAAACATAACAACGATCAATCACATTTCGCAGAAAAAACTAGTCATTCGGAACGAGATATTTCTCCTCCCTGTCACCACACGGTCCATGCATCCCATCCACCTACCAACTACACACCACAGTGCGCTGAACACAAACTCACTTGACGGCCAGATAGGGCTGCAGTGTGATGGCGTGCGGCACTAGCAGCTGCGGGCGGATGCGGGCGAACATGTACAGTGTGTTCAGACAGGCCACCAAGCGCTGGGAGCTGCCGCGGCTGACGGCCGCGCCCGTGTCGGCGGCGCGGTCCTGCAGGCCCGACTCCTCGATACGCAGGATGTGCTGCACCAGACAGTCGACGATCTGTCGGCTGGCCGTCAGCAGCGACTTGGGCGGCTCGAACACCACCTTGGTGCTGTCCTCCTTGTCCTCCTTCGGCTTGAACAGCTGCGAAAAGAAAAATAAACGGTTATCTTACTGAGCAAGGCAAACATCAAATCCCTAAGGATCTGTATACCTCAACTGATGCAACTTGCCAGCCCAGACGATAAAGTTACAGCTCCCCTCCCCCACATCCCACGCCCTGCCCCGTGCAATGTCCGGTCCTTTTGCTACCACCGCGCAACGTCCTGAGTCCCACTCCCCTCCCCTTATCCCCGTCCGCCGTCCTGACTGACCGTGTTGAGGAGCTGCTCGAACCAGTCGAGGCCCGTCTCCCGACAGGCCACCACCACGTCGGTGATGTCCATCACCTTCTTCAGCAGCACCGGGTTACTGTCGTCCTGCTGTTCCCGACGGTCGCGCTGCTCCCTCACCGGCGTGAACCACATCAGCTGAAAAACAAAGAACGGGGCGAGAGTCAGTTCACGTCCAACGCCCCACGACATTTATGCTTCAGACCAAAGGCGTTATATCCTTAGATCTCACCACCGATCTATTGACCCTGCCAGTTGTCAATTTTCTGTTTGACAACTTCTATGTGCCAACGAATCTCGTCGACTGGCGAACTTCGACCCTCTTTGGACCGTCGGTCCCGCGCCCGCAGTACTCCTAAATAATCTACTCGTATAACTGATTCCCAGATGCAGCGCTCACCTGAAACACTTCCATGACGAGTTTCCGGATACCCTCCTCATCATTCACGCGCCGAATCATCTTCACGCAGATCTCGGGAATCTTGGGAAAGTCCGGACACTCCACACAAATGTCTTTCATAATCTTTATCACACGCTTTCGCACACTCACACCAGTGTCCTGTAAAGCAGAACGTTCCGGCGTCAGACAAGAGAGCCGCAACAAGCACAATCACAACACAACGCATTCTTAGATATCTACATAGCTTGCGATCTAGAACGTGTGCCCAACAAAGTTGAAAAGCAAGGTAAAACAAGGCTTGTTCTGCATCACGAATGGTTAATAACCTCCAAGACTACATCTTCACAGCACAGATCCATCACCCCACCAGCAATTACATTCCCCCTCCCGCCACTCACCAGTATCCTGGCCGACAGTTTGTCGTAATACTTTTCTATGAGCTCGGGCCGCGACAGGATGAACTTGCCAACCAGATCGACGGCCGCCTCTCGCACGCTGGTGCTGTGGTCTAGGAAGGAGTTGTGCACGCCGATCTGCATATCAGTACGCGCCAGCACGGCCGGGTCGGCCTCCACCACCATGGTCAGACACTTCATGGCCTTGGTGCGCACGGCGATCGCCGACTCGGAGAGCACCCGGATTATCTGAGGGCGGACGGGCGGCGGAGTGATGGCAGACGAAAACGCGAATAATGCAGCGCAACAGTCGAAAGCGTGAGGAAGGACAACATATGAACGGTCAGCCGAGTAGTAAGGCAGGGTGAAACTGAATGTTATTATAACATAATCGCGAAGAATGTTGCGAATGAACAAAGTCAGTTTATTTGATGCAGAATATCTCGGGCACCGGCCGATGTCCACTTGAGTACATGAAGAGTTCAAGTTTTATCCCATCTTTCTTTCATCCCCGGCCGTCCTGTTCGAACAACATGTCTGGACAGTTCAGCGCCGTTCGGCCTCACCTGTTTCAGGTAGACGTCGAAGCTCCTGCTGAACGGCCGCTTGCTAGCCAGGTACTTGCAGAGCAGCTCGGCGTGGTCGTAGTCGAGGTAGGTCTGCAGTGTGCGGATGCCCACCTTGCCGCCCGTCTCCCCGAACGGCGCCACCTTGGTGAGCAGCAGCTGGCGGCGGCCCTCCACCAGCGCGTTCACCTCGCGCTTCATCTCCTCGGTGGCGGCCGTCTCGTCAGCTTCCTCGTCACTCTCCTCACTCTCCTCGTCCGACGAGTCGCTGCCGCGCCGCTTGCGGCGCTTCTTGTGCCGTTTGGTGGGCGAGGCGGTCGGCTGCGGGCCCTGCTTCTGTCGGAGGATCTCCTGCGGCGCCTCCTTGTACCACTGAGCCAGGTAGAAATGGCGGCAGTGCAGCAGTGCCGGGTCGCGCTCGGCGCTCACCGCCAGGTAGTCGAGCAGCACTCGCTGCAGGAACCGCGTCCTCTCCTCCTCGGCGTCAGTGACAGCCAGACTGCCGCCCGGAGACTCAGAGTCGCCGTGCTTCTGCGGGCGGGCACACGGACAGGGAACGGGTGAGACTTCAACCGGCCGGTGTACTGATAATAACGCGTGAATACAGGCACCAGAGCGAGACAGATGGCATGGCGTCTTATAGAAAGCAGCCTCCACCACGGTGGCAACAATGTGTAATCAGAACTCTGCTCACTAACGTTCCTAGTGACAGATGATGCCAAATTAATGTCAAATGAAAAAATATCCCCTTCAGCTGGTCGTTCCGATCAGACTCCCCCAAACAGCAGCCTGCGCTCCCACCATCCAATAATAGGCCCACCTCTCCCGAATTCCTTCACAAGCCAACATCAATCGTTTACCCTGAAACCATATGTCTCTGTATACCGAGGTCAGTGTTCATACCTTTTTCTTTTTCTTCTCCTTCTTGCTCTCGGCGGCGGGCGTCTCCTTTTCGTCCTGCGGGGCGCCCAGGCCGGCGGCCCGCTCTTCGCGCTTCACCTCGCTGATGATTTCCTCAATGAGCTCGGGCCTCGCCGTGGAGGTGACGGCGTCGCGCCGGAGCCGGGCCGCTACCACGCCCAGATAGTCGAGCGACGACACGCGCAGCGCCATCTCCTTGCTCTTGTTACTGAAGTTGGCCACCTGAACGGAGAGACGGAAGGTCAGTGAGGCGCTGGATTGCGTCGGACCTATGGGGACACAAAACAATATGCATAAACTGGCCGTTAATGTCACGCCTCACGATGCAGGAATGTGACTAATTCAATATGGCTGCCATGGTTAGCAAGAAAACAAAATCATGCAACCTACGATCTGTCGTGTCACAGCCGAGTTTGGCCGCTTGAAAAGTAATTTAATTGAATTACTGCTATATTGCTTTGCAGTCCAGCTCCTGCACAGGGCATGTTTTTGTTCCGGGTCCCGCTCAGGCGCTCACCATCGACAATAGACCACAATAAAGGCCGTCGGCACGCCATCACATACCCGACTAATGGCAGCACTGCCAGCGGGTCGATCAGACCCAAAACGGACTCAATTCCGGAGCAGGCGAGTACACCGCTGCGGCCTCACTGAACCGAATGTCCTTAAATACAAACCCCCTAACAGGGCGCTAACAGTAAGAGAAACAGATGTCAAGGCTACGTCAAAAAGAAAAATTTAAAACCACGCTACTGGCCTGGTAGTAGGGTCTAAATTTAAAGCGCAAGCATCACACGAAAGCTGGGTCTTTCAAGAGAGCCCTTGACTGTGAGCTATAACGTCTAAGCATCCGTCCACCAATTCCCACCATCAGCTCCAAGAATGCTCCCAGATAGTCAGTCCCCTTTCCCCTTTGCCACTCACCAGCAGTTTTCCGAGCAGGCTGAGCAGACATTCGGCCGCTGGCCACTCGGGTTTGTTCACCGTGGCCAGCAGGTCCTGGATGAAGTTCTCAAACAGCGGCCGGTAGTCAATCTCCTCGTTTTTGCTGCCGCACTTTTGCAGGAACACCGAGAGGAAGCTGTGTGCCGTACGCATGGCCGTGTCGTAGCGGTCCATGATGAGCACGTCACGGTCGATCTGACAGAGAGACAGGGAGAGATGACCGGACGTCAGAAGGGGTCCGCCAACGAATGAGACTGGAGACGTTACACACAATACAGCCAAGTCAACATGCCAGTGAACGACAAAATTAATCCTGGGAAAGTTACACAGAGGCACCCGCTAGACCTACAAAGTTGAGATCTATTTAAAATTAGGCTTGTGTTTGTTGAACGCGTGAAAATAAAACCACGACCCAGGAAACCCTCAAGCAATGATCATTGTTTAGCTTACTTTGAGGGTGAGCGATGAAGGTAAAGTAAAACGGCAATCTCCGACAACACCCTCTCGAGCGTCGATCCCTTCTACTGAACGTCGAGGTTTCCTCCTCCTCCCCTCCGGCAGTCAGTACTTACCTCGATCTCCTTCTCTTCATCGCCGTGCTCCTGGTCACCGGCGGGCGCCACGGCCGTCTTGGCCAGGTAGTTGGGTAGCACGACGACACACTGAATCAGCTGCAGCACCAGCGCCGTCAGCATCTGGATGTGAACGTCCGCCTCGCCCGGGCCCGACGAGTTGAGTTTGTAGGTGCGCAGCGACCGCTTGCTGCTGGGCAGGCGTGCGATCGAGGCGAGGATGTCGTCCAGCAGTAGTCGACGGTGCTTCTGGTACTTGGAGAAAATCTGGACGGGAGAGAGCACACGCAAAGGAGGGAGACGTCAGATAGATGGAGACAGTATGCTGATATGTTGATCGGTGTAACTGACGCCCACACAAACATAAATCATCGGTGTTCGAACAACCAAGCATCGCACACCGAATGAGAAACAAGTCAAATAGGGCAAAATCTTGAGCGAAACAAACGTGAATATTTCCCGCGACTTTTCATTGCAAGAACGTTCTAATACAGCACCACGACCTTTTCGACGAATATGCCTCTTCGTGTAGTAAAATAAACAAATAATAAAATAACACGTAGAAACCTTTTGGTACTTGGCGTTCTACGGGAAATGACCGTTTCATGAGGAAGAATTTCATACATTCCACCGAAACTGACAGTAAGCATCTCTGACTCATCCATGAAAGCTGTATTCCGGCACGCATAGGTATTCCAGCTCAACATGGCCTAAATATTGAAAATTCTCACGACCGAGTCAGCGTTTCACAGTTAACGTTCATCGTAGGTATATCATGAGCAGCTCGGTACCAGTCATTTATTTTTGGGCCGGTGGCGCCCGTTACTTTCCGTCGCCCCGACGACACCCCTCCCTCCCCTCCCCCGGCCGGCGCCAAACAGGTTGGCGGCGGCGGTGCGCGCCGGCTGAGGTTTGAGAACCGCTGACCGGCGGCCGGGCGCGGCGGCAGAGGGAACAAAAACACCGCATACAGAGCCCGCCTGCGCCGGTCCACTGCCACTGACGGGTGGGGGAACGGCAGACGGCTGCAGGGGCACACACCGGTTGGAGGTGCAAGAGATCGTCGTCGCCTGGCTCGGGCAAAATTATCCAAAGATCATCTAAGTCGAAGCCGCATGACATCAAGCAATTGGGTAAAGGCACAGTTTTTACGCACACGTCATATTTTTCTCTCGCACATACCTCAATTTGAAGCGTCTAGTCTCAGTCCCGTCCCACAGACTGCAATAACTCCAGACCAGTCTCCCAACCCTGCCCGTCCGTTCCCGACCCAGCGCGGCCGGTCCGCGGTGCAGTCTGGGCCCATCCACTCGATGATGACGCAACCCGGGCGCCAGCCTGTCCCGGCCGCTGAACGCCTCGCATATCGTCACCACCCCGATCATCAGACTGGTCCTCCGTGCAGTGCCGTCCAACCCGTCCTACTCTTCCCAATCGTAACAAAGACACCACGCCTGCACCAGCCCTGCAGAGGCAGAGCAGGCTACCGGGACGGTTCCCCGCCGCCGGTCCGCCCGGTTTGAGGACCACTGGTCGAGCGGGCTCTCCGCTTCAAGACGGCGCAATGGGCGGCGCGTCGCCCCGTGCCGCGCCGAGAGCACGAGGAATGTGTAGCCATCGTGAACGAGCCGTGAAATCACGGTCGGCGGTCGTGCCGGGAATTTCACCGGACTAATTACTGCCGACACGGTGATGGCGCAGGCTTATACCTACACCAATTCCACCTTATCGTTGTCCAGGGAAAAAATTATCTAAATTTGATGATGATGAGTCTCGAACTTCAGCTATTTTAATGTACCCAGAGCCATATATTTTGCGATGGCAATAACATTACTTTATAGGGTTCGCCAACCAACTTCGTTTGTTAACTACATGCAGCCTCACTCCTCATTGTGATATTTCATCCAAGGACCTGCACTGATGTTGCAGAATCAAACCACCCCACCCTCAAGCCGCCACCATTCCCGTCCGACCCCTCCCGCCGTCCCGTCCCGTCCCACCACCCCTGTGACTGACCGTGGTGACCAGTTTGAGCGCCGACAGCTGCAGCTCGCTGATGTTCTCCACGAAGAAGGGCGCCACGCCCAGGCTGGAGACCTGCAGCACCGTCGTGTCGGTCAGCACCTGGATGTTGAGCAGCTCGGCCGTCAGTGCCACCAGCTCGCGCAGCTTGTTGTACAGCGACAGGATGCTGCGGTCGCGCACGTCCTTGGCGTGGGCGCGCTTCTTCTTGGCGCTGCTGCTGCCGCCGCCTGCCGGGAAGAATTGCGTTTAAGAAATATGCCAACTGGGGAAAGGTTCGCCTGTGTGGCCGAATAGTTTACATTGATTGCAGCGTTTCATGAATAGCTTCCTTCTGAACTTTTTTTTGTCAATGTTCGAAGATATTCTTCTCGAAGAATTCTTCTAAAAAAAAGTCATATTGCAGTACATCGATTGCAAACGATAGAAGGCTGACAATGGAATATCAGGTAAGTGACCATAATTGGTTTTCCAGGAGAAAAGAGTACGACTAGCCTCAGACCTGCATTTTGGTACCGACGGCTCCATCCAGTCCAGCGCAGCCACCCAAATGCCCCCACCCCGTCCGCCAGCAGCACGTACGCACCTTTCTTAGAGGGCGCCCTGTAGACGGGATCAAACGCCGGGTACACGGTGTTCTGCAGCTGAAACTTCATGAACTTCACCACGCGCTCGATGCAGTCCTCCAGGTAGACGCGTTTCGGCATGCCGGGCGAGGTGAGGATGTACATGATGACCAGCGAGGCGTCGGCGCCGCGCGCCACCCGCTCCATGGCTATTTCCATCCAGAGCCGACTCTCCTCCTCGCCATCATCCGCCTCGCCCAGCGGCGTGATCTGCGCGCCGTCGCGCACGTTCATCTCCAGGATGCCGAGCGCGCGCACCAGCCGCTCGGGTGGCACCGACTCCATGGCTCCCAGCGACTTCAGCTTGGCGGCCTCGCTGACCAGCTCTTGGAGTCGGTACTTTTGGATGAGCGCCTCCTGGGGTACGTCGTCGTCCTCGTCTGGAGACGAGAGGTAGGGGAGACACGGACCGTTTGTGAGTGCGATCGGACGATTGGAGTGGGAGATACAGACAGACTGAATGACCGATAAGACGATATTCGACAGAGACCGCCGTGACAACAGTACGAAAGCCAAGATACTGCTGCTCACTGCTAGTGCTGATAGACCACTGCTCGAATCACACAATAATACCTATGCAAGACATATAGCCCAGAAATTACAAGGCGACTCGACACCTAAAATACTGCGCTAAGCACTTATAAGCCTTACGCGTATAAGTGGCCCAATATCTAGGCACCAAAGGTGAATACAGAACAACCCTCGAGCTTTATGCGACTCAAATTAACACCCAAGTCGCTAATACCACGGTTTTGCAACCGTTGTACCATGAATCTCTACATTCCTAGCATTTTCTTTTTATCTAGCCGCCAAATATTGGTAGTAGCCCTCCCCAGAGCCAGCACCTCTCCTGAGGGGACGTACTTCAGACCCTCCCGGAAACTGTCAGTCCCGGTGGCAGATACTAGACAGTCCCCCGGAAATATTCTTACAGAATAAGACAGCTAGCCCTCTCCCGGAACCTCGCAGCCCCTTTTGACATCTGTATTCCCGATCCAGTCCATACAAACCACCCTCTCCCATCTCAGAGCCGAGTCGGCGGACCGGGCGATCGCCTGGGTCCGCCGTTCGGCGGGCAGTGGTCGTTAAAAGGGGTGGAGACGTCGTGCGCCACTCACCCTGCTCAGCCATGAGATCCAGCTCCTCAGCACCGTCCAGGATCAGCTCCAGCGACTGGTTGAAGCGCTGGTACGTGTTGGTTTCCATCAGCTCCTCAGCACTGAGCTTCTCCAGAGTGGGCACCAGGCGGCGCTCGAAGCGCTTCGAGTTTTTAATACGCTCCACGAGCTCTGTGGAGACGGGACGCGGTGGTCAGAGGCGGTCACGGCGCGACTTTGACATAGAGGCGGCAGGAATGACTATTGACTAGTACCTTATGATGGCCAGGCAATTGTATGCAACGTTATCACCACAACAAACAAACATTGTGAGAAATTACCAAACAGGGTCACATTATTTGCGTGTCATTGTCACAAACTAGGTACGCTACACAAGCTCTAAACATTCTAAGATGATCTGAACATTCTACTTTGAGCAGCCTCTATGTAACAAAATCTAGATTTGGCACCATACGTGACTACATTACCTTCTTCCCGTTTGATGCGTTTGGCTGCACTCTCCGCGTCCTCTTCCTGCTGGTTGTCGCCATCCTGACGCTTTCGTTTCCGCTCCTCTTTCTCTGCAGGTTCGACAGAACAGTGTTTCAATTCCATTTTGTTTGCAAATAATTTAATGTAAGCTTAACAGATTTACTGGTGAAATATTTCGTTGAACATTTATGTGTCGTATTTAATTACTGGCCCCTCCCACCCCAACCTTGACCTATAATCAAGGCCGTATAAGTTAAAACTATAAACAAGGCCTATAATGGCCAATAATGGCCGCAGATTTTGCAGCGAGCACACTGCATTTGTCAGTATAACGCAAGCGTGCCTTATATGTGCGTGTACTTCCGCGTCGATAGCTAAAAATACCACCGGATCTTTTATGCAAAGATAAAAGAAAAAGCGGCGACGTTACAAAACAACGCATAGTTATAGAAGACAATAATTGAACACCAGCTATTTCTTTATTTAATGGGAGCTTTCGAAAGCTATGCAGCTTTCTTCGTCAGCCTTGGTACAAAACACTAAAACAAATCAATGCAACAAACAACTATGCAATCGTCCCAGCTAAATAACAATATTTACAAAAACAACGCAATATACTTTAATATGAACGACGCACATCTGCACACATTTCAACTGAAAGGACAAAAGCGTGCTTCAAAACAATGTCGGTTGAATGTACCAGAAAAGTATAGAAAATTGATCGCTAGTTTTGGAACACGATTTAAATTACGTTGACGCGTTTCTAGAGGATGATTGCTTTGGGTTACGACACACATCTGTTTACGTATCTTTCGTTGGCGCATGTATCTTTTTAAGGGTTACGATTCGTAACTTACGAATGGTTACGAAAATAGTACACTTTAACACACATGCATGAATGTCCCGACTCCCGAGATAAATAAGGAACAATCTAATAAGCAATGTCCAATTGCAACCTGATGATAATTTGAGCGCAACTGAACCAAATAAGACAGACCATAGAGCTCTGAATTCAGAGATCTATGGACAGACCAGTCTGTAAACACAGCTTGTCCCGGACTACCTCGAGGCCCGCGAGGGTGTCTCACCTTTCTTTTTGGCGAGGTCTCGCTCCTTCTCCTTGGCCTTGAAGTACTTGTTGCGTGGTCGGTCCTCCTCTTCGCTCTCACTGCTCACTTCATTGCACTTAAACCGGCGCGCACCCCGGCCGGCCGCGCCGCTCGACTCGCTCTGTTTGACTTTCTTCAGGTCCTCCAAGCACTTTTTCATCAGCGCCTCGTCCTGCGGCGCCCAGGGGAATGATGCCACACGAATGAAGGGGCACATCACGAACAACAGCGGCTAGGTCATATGAACACACAAAGCCGGGACCGACAATGGAACTCGTAAAATATGTTTGCGTGAATGAAGTTCATTCTATAGCCTGATAGATAATATGTCGATGAAAGATAAGAACAGTGTAAGCTAGCGAAATATAGCACCGCTCGTCACATTGCTCGTTCGTTGTTGGCAGCAGAACCATTGCCAATCTCATGAGAAAACTGATGAAGCATGGCGGCGACGACAACAAAACATTAAGTTAATACAAACCAAAATGAGAAGCTTTACACAATATGGATGTTTATCAGCTGAAGTACTTCCTTCCCATCTGTTGGGGAATTCCCACCACGCGCCCACGGCCGGACATGCACCCTGTTCCCTACCTCAGGGTTATTCCTTAGTAGCACCATGGGCTTCCTGGTCTTGGCCTCGTCCTTTGCCGCCGCACTACCACCGAACAATGTCTGTGCCGGCGACGGGCTGGGCTCCGTTTTCACTACAGAGTTCACCGAGCCAGGCGCACTGCCGCCGGAGGGGAGCGGCGACGCCGCCGCCGCGGCCGACGGTGGCTCCTCCTTAACGTCCGCTATCACACCGTTACTAGACACAACGGGCGGCGCAGGGGGCGGCGGCGGCGGCGGCGCGCCCGGGGGCGGCTCGCCCGCCGCCGGCCCATCCACTGTGAGTTTATCCGCCGCCGACTGCTCGGCCGCCACTGTCTTTTCGGCGTGTGCCGGCGGCGCCGCGCCGTCCGCCACACTGGGTACCGTCCTGTCGGCGGCGCTCGCCGGGGAGGCGGTATCGGGCCGCGCCGGTGTCGCGCCGCCCGCCGCCGCCGGCGACTTTGCAGGCGGCGGCGCCGGTGTGCCGGCCGGGCTGGCGGTGGCCGCCGCCGCCGCCGCCACCGCCGGGCTGCCGGTACGCTCCGCCGTGTGGTTGGTCACCGCCGGGTGCGATAGAAGCTGGCTGTCGAGCTGGCGCAGCGCCCGCAGCAGCTCCGGCTCGAGCGCCGGAGAGCTGGCGGTCTCGGCCGGCGGCGGCTCCTTCAGCTCTCTGTCCAAACGGCAGTACATCCAGTTAGCAACGGCAATCGGAGCCAGACTCTTGAGCACAGAATGACGCTAACTGCACATCTCTTTTAAACACCATCGTTTGAAAAATATGCAGTTAAAGTTGACTAGCGCATTACCCCCAAAACATACTTTCCAGCGATACGTTTTTCGCTACATTTTACCGATCCCTGTGCTATGGCACACCCCAGATCTGCCGTATAAAGGCAAAAACATTATGTTCAGGTGACCTCTGACCTGAGAGAATGGCCTCTGACCCGAAATAATGGTTTTTGCCTTTGCACGGCAGAGATATTCTGTCTCCACAGCTAATAACCGCTCAGTACCGGTCCCGTGCCTCACATGTAGGGTCCCCTCCCGTCCCACGGTTCCCCCTCCGCGTCTCGCTCCCCGCGCGTCTCACATGTGCTCGGCGGAGGTGTTGGTGAGCGCCTGCGCCAGCTGCGGCACCAGGCTGCTATCGCGCACCGTCAGCAGCCGGCGCGCCTCCTCGGCCACGCGCGGGTGGAACAGCAGCGACCGGCTGCTGAGCGACGCCTCCATCGGCGTCGGCAGCGGCAGCTCCGGCAGCACTGTGAACACGGGCGAACAGATGGTCAGATGGGCTCGTGGCACCAAACAGATCGCAAAACCGAGCGAGCCATCATGCGACGACTGACAGCTCCTGGTGGCCAGTCAGAGAAAGCCTTTACCACCCAGGGGATTCATGTGTAGCAGTGACCTTAAATGAGCATATCTTGACCTAAATGCATGGATATATTTTGACTACGACTTCTGATGCATGATGAAGTTGCCAATGCCAGTTGCCACTAATTGCCTATGCAAATATAGTCCATAAACATGCAGTCAAAGTACGCAAGCACATTGTTAGCAGGCTTTCAAGTAATCACTGATAACTCTTAACTTTTAAAAACATAAAGCAACTACTTCAGTGGAGACTTTGCAGCCAGACTCACAGTCGGAGAGGCTGAACATGCCAGCCAAGGTGGTGACCGGAGTGTTGGCATTTGGAAGCTCTCCATTCATCCTGGCCGGCGAGGAGCAGACTGCGGAGCCGTCTACAACATCCCTGCAAAAAATAACCCCCATTTTTGAGCATGTTGAACCTACAACTTGCAAATCAAACCATCAGGAAGATAATATGAGCTACTAGCTCTTGACATATACATACCTACTTGAGGAATTGCATAGTAAAGCAACAATAAATACATAAGTAGGCAAGGTTCTACCAAGGTAAACAAAAGTGAGAATGGAGGCATTAAAATGATGCTACTGAAATTTCTTAATTGCTGTTCTAAAACACCATTAGAACAAATACAAAAATGGACATTAAACACAAGGGTGTTACAAAATGAAAACCATAACATGTCTTCCATGGTGAAGATGTTGAATAGCTCTGTTATTCTTATTATTAAGAAGGTAAGGGAACATCTTGAAGAGGAGGTACTGAGGATATGGAATAGACTTGAACTGTTACACAAATAGACTCAAAACATTGCAAATGCATGTTAACTTGTTAATCTGTTTCAACATTGCTTAGGTATCCTACTTGTATCTCAGACTTATCACTGCATCACTGGATTCAGATTGAAATAGAGCAGGAAACAGATAATATGAAATGAAAAAAATTGAGCTATGTTTGAGACAGACTCCTCACTAACTATTCACAATAAATGGTAGCCATACACACTTGTAGACTGATAACACGACACAGGGTGATGAAAATATAACTGGCTTAACTGCTCACTGTCACCTTAAGTTATCATGTCATCATTGATAACAAACACATGAAAGTACACAGGATAGGTAATCAAATAGTTCTTAGTTTCATAGTCCTTACATATTTATTCAACAAGCCATTGCATGTCCTCATTCAACCTAACCTCATGATAAACAAGCCAACATGAAAAACGTGAACTAAAATTGCTTGAATCTGCTATAGAAAGAGCAACAGGACTTAGGATGATCAAGGATATGATCCAGGCTTTTCATTATGGTAAAATGTCTGATTTTTAAGCAATGGGCTTACTGCATTTATTCACACATTTACGATTATGCCGCCAATTGCAATCCATCTTTGGCCAGGTTGAGGTGCACGCCCCAATTTAGTCAAGCGACAACCATTGTAGCCAACATTGTAGCAAACAAGCTACATTAGCACATACTTAGCTGACAAATGCATCTTCCATGCTGAATGTGGATGTTACATCTGCAAAAGAACTGAAGTCAATAATATGAAATGAAATGAAATGAACATGAACAATTCATCACAGTAAACAATCACAAGTTTGAACTCATACTGAGCTCAATATTCTTTGACCTATATTGAGCATTACGTTTCAAGTACATCCTTGCGAAATGTGATGGCTTCTGGCTAGTTACGTTTTCTCGAAAATATTTTGAAAATATCGAAATACTTTCACTTAAATTGTACACACAAAGGTATTTTGATTGCCGTTCCCCGGGAAACTGACGCAGAAACGACGCACAACACAACCGATTTGGAGGCTTATCCGACTCGACGCTAGGGGCGCCTAAGGCCAAAATGCATAATTCCAATGAAAATAAGAATTTTCAGGGTGCATTCCTAACAAGTTATGTTTGTCTTTCTTCAAGATACAAGATTCTTGTTTTTTATCGTGTTTGAAAACCATGAAGTCAATAAAATGCAACATAAATTTTAAAATAAAATGCTGCGATCATATTAGTCTGCACAACCTCTACCGTTTTCACAATCAGCTGTTCACTCAATCCTCTACATCGTGGCGCGCTTTGGGCTCCGCTCAGTTGCTCTTTATCAATAAATCTTCAGGTTATTTGTTGGTTGCTTTCTCAAATTTACTCAAAACAATGCAGGGACTCTCAGCCGCCAGTCTGAAGAGGCATCCAGCGGTAAGCTCGAGGTTAACGTTATAATTTCCATTGTTATCATGCGCCATGATTGCCCTAAGTAATCAATTGCTTTGTTTGCTTTAATATTTATCAAAAAGAGCTTTTTTCCAGCTAACAGTAAATAACTACTTCATTTTTCAAAGTATTCTAAAAAATGAAGTAAGTAGTGCACAGAGATTGTAAGGTAAGAGTGACAGTAATGCTTGTAACCTACCGTAAAACGGGGTGTTAAGGGACAGTTTTGAGGTGTTTTGTTATTTAACTCAAGAAGGGTTGGAGATAGAAGCATCAAATTGTCAGCATTTTATGTGGAATTTGGTGCTTTACATGCCTGCCACATTAAAGTTTTTAAGATTTATACCTGCATATTATTTTTTATTATTTTTCATCACCGTCCCTTAGCACCTCAATGTGGGGTGTTAAGGGACACCTATATTATTCCAAGAAATGGTCATCAAATGCCCACAATTGGGGTGTGGAAGGGCACACAATTTATTTATTGAAATGTTTTGCATATTCTGTCACAAAACAAGTCATTAGTCAGGTTCATTCACCACTAATGACCTTTTTAGCCAATTACGTGTAATGCAGTTTACGCTTGTGGAAAATGTGCTACCGTAAAATGGGGTGTTAAGGGACAGTTTTGAGGTGTTTTGTTATATAACTGAAGAAGGGTTGGAGATAGAAGCATCAAATTGTCAGCATTTTATGTGGAATTTGGTGCTTTACATGCCTGCCACATTAAAGTTTTTAAGATTTTTACCTGCATATCATTTGTTATTATTTTTCATCACTGTCCCTTAGCACCCCAATGTGGGGTGTTAAGGGACACCTATATTATTCCAAGAAATGGTCATCAAATGCCCACAATTGGGGTGTGGAAGGGCACATAATTTATTTATTGAAATGTTATGCATATTTTGTCACAAAACAAGTCAGGTTCATTCACCACTAATGACCTTTTTAGCCAATTACGTGTAATGCAGTTTACGCTTCTGGAAAATGTGCTAATTATAAGGTATGCAGAACCAAAAAGTACCCTTCTGTCATCAATAAAAACCCATGTTGAAGCTAGTCATTTGTCATTATGTTGCTCTCTTTATTTTAGCCTTTTTATGATGACATCACATTTACCTACATCAGTCTCCATTGACCCATCATTGTAAAAGAGAGTGTTGAGATGTTTTGTTATATAACTTAAGATGTGTTAGAGATAAAAGCATGAACTTGCCAGCATTTTATGTGGAATTTGGTGTTTTCCATGCCTACTGAAAGAAGACTTAATGAAATTATATTTATATATTATTTTTTATTTTTTCTTCCCTGTCCCACATCCACCTCAAAATATGCATGTATCCGGAAAAGAGGAAGAGGATGATGAATGAATGGGTGAATTTGCACAAGGTTTTTAGGAAACATGTGCAATACATGTGACAATACACCTATGCATTCATTTTCCCTGTACAGTGTACACCCGCTAGTTTATGTGGTACACACAGAGTTTTGGAGATGTTTCAATTTTGTGAAAATGTAGAATGATTTTCAAATCCATTTTTGAACCAAATCACTTGCATGAAAAACCATACCATTCTGTCCTATGGTCAAGAACAAAACAGTGTCAACTACCACACTGAAGTTTTTATTGAACCTTCTCAAATTAGGAAGTTAATATTACTCAAAGTTTTTCCCATGCAACTGTCCCTTAGCACCCCACTGTCCCTTAACACCCCATTTTACGGTAATTATAAGGTAAACAGAACCAAAAAGTAATCTTCTGTCATCAATAAAAACCCATGTTGAAGCTGGTCACTTGACATTATGTTGCCCTCTTTGTTTTAGTCTTTTTATGATGACATCACATTTACCTACATCAGTCTCCATTGACCCATCATTGTAAAAGAGTGTTTAGATGTTTTGTTACATAACTTAAGATGTGTTAGAGATAAAAGCATGAACTTGCCAGCATTTTATGTGGAATTTGGTGTTTTCCATGCCTACTGAAAGAAAACTTAATGAAATTATATTTAGATATTATTTTTTATTTTTTCTTCCCTATGCCTTAGCACCCCACATCCACCTCAAAATATGCATGTATCCGGAAAAGAGGAAGAGGATGATGAATGAATGAGTGGATTTGCACAAGTTTTTCAGGAAACATGTGCAATACATGTGACAATACACCTATGCATTCATTTTCCCTGTACACCCACTAGTTTATGTGGTACGTACACACAGAGTTTTGGAGATGTTTCAATTTTGTGAAAATGTAGTACGATTTTCAAATCCATTTTTGAACCAAATCACTTGCATGAAAAACCATACCATTTTGTCCTATGGTCAAGAGCAAAACAGTGTCAACTACCACACTGAAGTTTTTATTGAACCTTTTCAAATTAGGAAGTTAATATGACTCAAAGTTTTCCCATGCAACTGTCCCTTAACACCCCACTGTCCCTTAACACTCCATTTTACGGTACCTGCTTTGTTCATCTCATATCTAGGTGTTTATTTTTGCAATGGTGCTGGGTACAGGAGGGTTTATTCTTTAAATAGCAAAAATATCATTTTTAACTTCTATGGTGTTCCTCCTCTTCACAGCTATACTAGATGGGTGGAAAAGATGGTAAATTTGGGGACCTAAAGTAATTAAATACGAGGAGGATAAGGGGAATCCGTTAAAAGGATGTACGGTCAGTGGCAAATATTATTTTCCTATGGTGGTTGCTTAACAAGCTGCTCATTGAGAAAGGTTTAGGCACCACCAACTGGTCATGGGCTACATGAAATGTCTATGTTTTTTTACATGCCAGTCCATATATTTATGCTCCAAAGGTGTCTTAATCAGTTCAGAAAGATGGTGGAATCTGCATTCTGCAAACAGGGCACCTTGGGCGATTTGATCAAGGATCTTGAAATTGTCACGTGACAATTGACCTGTTAGAGGCATTGGATGGGAGAGTACTTCTCAGTAACCAAGTGACTAACATGCCCTCTGGCACCCTGTTTTCAGATTCCACCCAGAAAGACAATTTCTAACATGTCAATACTGCTTTAAGTTAAATATTATCTAATGCTCACTTGATTAGGTGTTGGTTAATGTTATACATCTTGGTACTTACTTAATCTTCTAGTCAGGAAGTTACCTACTCCTTGGTTTAACCCTCGCCCGTAAACGGTGTTTTGCCACCTTCACCCATGCAGGGGGGGTGCGACCCCCCCCCCTGGCGTTTGAAAACGGAGCGTCGTAGAGCTTAGCGGAAAAGACCAACGGATTGCTCTCAACGAGATCTCGCGATTGGTGGTATATTTTTTGGTCCTAGGTCAACATTTGACCTACTTATGACCGGTCAAAGGTCAAATTTTCGGGAAAATATATTTTTCCATATTTCCGCGCCGATTGCGGCAAAACGGTAAGAGATATCGACTTGAAACCTTCACTATCGTGATCCTTGGTCAATTCTCTATCGTTTGGTGTGTATTTCGATGTCATAACTCTAAAAATGATGCGTTGGGAGCATCGGAAGTCTGCAAGGTCATTTGTGCATTGGGTCACGTCAGGCGTGTGACGTCACTGACCTGACCCTGACCCAAAATGGACTACAAGAAACAACCGACGATGCCTGAAATGGATAGCAAATTGGAATTCAGGGCATCAAAATACCTCGAAAAGGCATACAAGTGCAAGAAGTCATTACAGGTCAACCGAGGTCACTGACCTGACCTTGACCTTTAGTAACCTTGAAAAGGTCAACGGACATTGTGCCAATGTCAAATCAGCCAGTTATGATTCTAAAACAATCCATCAGTGTGTCAGGTCAGTCGACGTGTATACCAATGTGAAGCAATCTCCAATTTAGCGTAAATCTGGCCGGAGGTTGTTCCCTTTATGACGTCATAACTCCGTGACCTGACATGACCTTGACAAAAAAAAAATACCAAAAGTTGCGCAAAGGATGCCCCATAGGGTACTGAAAATTTGAGCATTTTACGTCGGCAGCTTGCAGCCAAGCTAAACAATGGTCAATTTATCTAATCAGTGAATTAAGCAACTCTGATCTTTTCGGAAAGGCATTCTAAGAATGTGCGTTAAAATGTTCCACGGTACTGTAAAGAGACACTCAATATGGGCACTTTGTTGCTAAGAAACCACACCTTTTTCAATCCGAATCGGCAACCGTTCATTGGAATACGGCAACGGGCACCTAATTTCGTCAGTCGCTCTAGAACCTTAACACCGGTTCGTCCCTAACATCACCCGCTTCCGGCACACAAGCTGACCTCATTCGAGGTCACCATCCTTGCGTCACTCTGTGACAATGTGGAAGCACTGGCGAATCCAAAGGGCGACGGGGGTCATTCGGGGCCACGCTCCTGGCGAATCCAAAGGTTGACGGGGGTGATTCGGGGCCTCGCTCCTCTCAACGCATCTAAAGTTGACAATGTTTTAGCCGTATTTCTTGCATGAAAAACAAAAATATTGATTTTTTCATTTGTGTCGATCTGTCGACACATTGTGAGTGGCGCTGACCGCCAGCGCGGATGGCTCAGGTCTGCCGTGATGGGAATGGGCGTGTCACCGGAGAGCGGCAACAATGTTTGCAGGACGGCGGTTTGGTCAGTCATGGTCAACTGTATTTCCGGACTAAATAAAACTGCCCTCTGGAAAGGTGGAAACCCTACGGGCTGACCCATCGATCGCTTTGGCTGCTTATCCGTAGCGGGACAGTTTTATACCGGCGTCTTGTCAGCCGCCGCAGCGCACCGGTCACTGGTAGACTCACCCAAATGCTTCCTCCGCATGATCTTCTCATCTCACGACTCTGACATGGCTTGCTAGCCTACTCACCCTCCATTCACAGAAAAAAAACGCTTAGACCTTAAAACCGCGGCCTTGGTGTATTTTTTGTTCCATTAACCAAGGGAAGTCTAACAAAAGGATGAAATGCCATAAATTCAAGTGGTAAGCATTGGAAACACGTCAATATACAAAATGATGTATG